GGGGAGGGAGGGCACCTAGGAGGGGGGGAGAGGGAGGGCATTGCGCTGGGAAAGGCCCGCGTGCAGACCGAGGACCAAGCCTGGTGAGGCTTGTTAGCCGTCAAGTGCATGGGAAGCACCTGGGGCTTCGCTGTTCCTCGCGGCCACTGGCCAGGCCAACACCTTTCCACTGGCTGGGAGGGGAAGCTGGGCTATATCCTCGTGTGACCCTAGTGTTCATCTCCACATTGTCCAGTTTTAGCAAGAATTCTAAGCTGGTTTAGCCAGTCCACCCTCGGTACTTGGTCACCCTAGAATCTGACGGGGTCCTCATCCTCCACTACGCGACCGTCAGGTGATGTCTGATCACCCAGGTTGCTGTGGGCAAGATTCCTGATACGTCAGTTTAGCCAGAATCCCCCCTTACCTCCTCTTAGTCATTTTTCATCCATTGACCCCCCTCCCCCGCCCCAATATGCTCCTTGGCTATAAATTCCGCTTTCTCTGCTGTATTAGGAGTTGAGCCCAATCTCTCCCCCACTACAAAATCCCACTGTAGTAGCCCCCCTTGAATACAGTCTGCCTTATGGTTCCTTAACAAGTGTTATGAAAAGTTTTTATTTAACAGAGTATGTTTTTAATGGTCCCCAAATGTGGTTCCATTTGAGTTTTGCTGATTGGTCTTTGTTAAACTGTGGACTCCCAAGCCCCCTGAATCAGAAATTAGGGGGAGGGAGGGGCATAAGGTAAGTCCCTAGAGTGCAGGAAGAGAAATGAAAGCCACTGTTTACGTTATCTTAAAATAAAGAAGGTATTACTAATATTTCCTATTCAAATTGGCGGTCAAGGTGTTCACTCCGCAGACAGGGCGGCGCCACAAAGCTGCCCACGTGTCCTCGCTGGTTTACTTTCAGCCTAATGCTGAGCAGCGCACACTGCACGTGGAGTTAGCATCTACCTTTAATTAAAATCACACGCACAGCTTAAAGCAGCCTAAAAGAGGCCGGCAAAGAAACCCCCAGGTGGTAGACCGAAAACGCAAGCACGGGCAGCCACAGGTGAACCTTCTCCAACTGTATTTTGGGGCCAAAGGATGATCAACTGACAGCCTGCCCCCCAAATGCAAAATTACCAAGACAGCCTTTTGAAACGTGATTTACAGCAAATCAGCTAATATTAGAATAATACTCTCTGTATACTAGAGATTCACGATAGGGGAGCTTGGAGCCAGCTCTCCCCTCCACCTGTGTGGTGCTTTTGGTTTCTCCAAAGCACTCTCCCCTCTGCCTGAATATTCATTTCAATCCTGGGAAAGTTTAAATCAATCAAGGCTTAAGGAGATCAAGTCACAAGAGCAACCTGCTAAGCATTGGTTTAAACCCAAGCTCTGCCTCCAGCCTCTGGAGAGCAACCTACACAGGCAAGGACTGCTTTCCTGTTTCCACGAAGGGGCTAGAGCCACTGACCTCTCGGATCTTCTGCTCTCACAAGTGGTGAACCAGGACAACCCCAATTCTAATTGGTGGAGGAGATGCCTTGTCTTGTTTTGCAGTCAGTAGAACCACTCCTTCCATATTTGTCTCCTTGACTAACCCCTCCCCACAGTCAGCTGAAAATGAGGTCTGAGGAGGAAACCTGTGTGTCTGCACAAAAAGCTTTGTTTGAAAGGTGAGAAGCCCAGGCAGGGAGACACCTGAGCCATGGGATTTGGATGCATTGGAGTCAACTCCAGACAGGTCCCAGGGCAGCAAGGGAAATGCACCACTAGGCTCTCGCCAGAGCCAGACTCGGGCACCTGAGGCTGGACTAGCTTGATGGTCTCTTCTACCTGCCTTTGCCCAAGACAATGGAAGAGCCTTGCTGGGGTCTTGGGTAGACGCTGAGCAGGTATTGTGAAGGGGAGGTAAGTCTAAGCTCTGACATGCTTTATTAGAGGCTATGAGCTCATCCTGTGGGGAGTGGATGGGACAGGGAGGACCACGAGGATGAGGGCACTCAGGCTAACAAGCACTCAGATGGAGTGAAAGTTGGGGAGAAACAGGCCAGAGGGGGCAGGGTTGCCCACAGCACATAATACTGTATTTACTCATTTCAAAAGGTCAGGTTTTGCTGTCGAGCAACGAGCAACGTTGTGGTTTGGTTTTGTGGTTTTAGGCAGTGTTATGGAGCTCTCCTCCCACCATCCCTCCTGGTGGGGCCTCCATCGCATCCAGCCAGGGGCCAAGCTCAAAGCAAGAGGGAGGTGGGTGTCCTGCCCAGAGCAGAAAGGAAATGCGAGAAGAGGCAGCCTAAGTGTCCTTTGTTTCTCCACGCTCCTCACGGATGTTGCAGCAAGCTGCGGAGACTGTGTTGAGAGGGAGAATGGGGACTCAGCAGGGAGCAGCTCCACAGCGAATCCTGGAATCAAGTGAAACACGTGAACCCTTTTTAAATGACTTGCAGAATCACGAGGGGGGGGAGATAAGGCTGCTGTTTCAATGCAGGAGGTGGGAAACATGGTAAATGGAAAAGTCTTGGCTCTTTTCATCTGAAGGGAGGATTACCAGGGAAGAAATCGGTAAAAATGTGTAAGTACTTATTACCAAGTCTCTGGTGTTTTCTCATAATTGAGCCACATACATACCTCCCTACTTTCCCTCAAACTCCTAGCAGAATGGAGCCAAAGCTTTCGTACCAATTTATTCATGATTTTCTAAAAGCAGGTACTAGGAGTACTCCCATTCCAGACCAGCACCCCATGACTGGGCCGGTGCCCAAAGAGGCAACAATGACCATTCCTAGCAGCGTGGCAACAAGTCAAGTGCTGGAGCCTGAGGCACAGGCCTGAAATCCCAGCACGAGGCTTATCAGCTGACTCTGCCTCCCTCTCTCAAACAGAAAAGGAAGTGGAAGAAGGAGAGCCGCTCTCTTGTTCTTGCGCACCCTGTGAGAGCATCTGATTCTTCAAGGTCCCACTCCAGCCGGGGAGCAAAGGGCAGGCCACAGGCAGGGCTGTGGACGCTGGGGATGAACTTGGCCTACTTAATCCAATCATCCCCCTACTCACCAGCACATGGCACTAGCTGCCGGCTCAATTCAACCTCAGGATGTGAAGTTGACTCAGAGGACCAAGGACAGAGGTACTGGGAAACCACAGGCACCAGGGGGAGGGGCAGCCAGGAGCAGAAGCCTCAGACCCTGCCATTGTCCAGAAAAGCTTCTTTACAGAAGCTGCCAACTCTCAGGGAAGAGAGGAATGCTATGGCCTCCTTGACTTTGGCCCAAAGAAATAGGGGCAGCACAAACCTTAGTTAGCCAGTGGAACGGGAGAGAGGACATCCTCCTACAGCAAAGCAGCAACGAGCAAACATCCCATATGGCTCAGCCCCACAGCCGGTGAGGGAAGAGCTGGGGTGGGGGTCCTGGGCTCACAGCTGACCGTCGGGGGTCACAGGGCGAAGGGAGAGAGCCCACTGCACACACATTCTAGAAAGAAACTCCAGGTAACCACGAGAGCATTCTTTTTTAAAAAACAGAAGAAAAGTAAGCAAATATATACAAAATACTGTCAATCTCTCCTGGGCAAACAGAGCAGCCATCACAATGCTTCTCCTGCTTCCTGAGCTTTCCTCCCGCTGTCTGGAGTGTGCTCGGGCACAGCCCCGCATGCTGGGCTCTGGGCACATGCACCACTACTCCATGTGGCTCCTGTTCCAGTCACCACGGCTGGACATTTCCCGGGCCCCCCAACAGCCTTTCCCTGAAGCCCCCTGCCCTGGCAGGGAGCCGGAAGTGGAGCATCCGGTCTTCCTGTCTCATCTCTCCCCACCCCCTGGGATAACACTGCTTCTGTGGAAGTACTTTGGGGCAGGTCCCATCAGACTTTATGGGCCAGGAGGGTGGTCAGCTTGATTTTGCCATCCATGGAGGCAGTGAGGCAGGTCCCGCAGTCCATCGCAGTGCTCCAGTCCACAGTGACCACAGGGGCTCGGTGGCCACCCAGGCTCAAGCAGCTTTCCAGAACCTTCTCATCCCTGCCCAGCTGTAAGAGGACAGGAGAGAGGAGGTGGTGTGAGCGGGCACTGTTCACAAATACATCCATGTTATCCACTAAACCACCTCAAGCCTGGGGGCTGCCACCCCAAGGTGAGGATGTGCCAGGCACACATGCCCACCTGTCCAGAAAGCCTATTTAATTTCTTGGACCAGGAAATACCTTCATTGTCCTGACTACAGTTGCTCCTCCATCTTAAGTGGAAAACCAGTCCCTGATATGCTCTTAAGACAGAATTTTCCCTGCCACCTTTAACTTGCTGTGGGCCAGTGACCTCTATGCCACCCCAGCTGCTCTCTTCCAGCATCATCCCAGCTCCTGTGCATTTTATCATGTATCCACTTCTTTGTTCTAGGTCTGCTCCCCCTAGGGATCGCAGCTGCGAGGGCAGATCTTAGCCAACTCCTATAGTGTGGCCAGCCTGCAGCACCCAGAACCAGCTGGCACCAGCAGGCCCTCGATCAATGCAAGCATGGCTCTCTTCTGTCCCACAGCACCAGCCAGGATGCAGGCAGGTGTGAGAAGTCAGACGGTAGTAAGGAAAGGGAAACCAGGACCAGACTGAATGATGACTGATGCAAACACAGATGTCTCCCATGAGCAAGAAGTATATGACCTTCATAGAGAAAACATCTTTAAAAATCATATATTGCTTACAGATTGTAAAAATGGGATCTGAAATTCATTATATTCCTTAAGTAATTAGAACCCATTACTGGCATTTTAAAAATTATACAGAGGAAAATCTTTTAACCCATTAATTGGTTATAGAGCAAATCTGTCTGCAAGTCACATAAACTGATCAGGACAAATGACAAAGGCTGCATGATTAAAAATAAAATACATACACAGGCACACAGCATATATACAACACATAAATCACAGAGCAGAGGATGGCCTACCTGAAACTCAATTTTTAAATAATAAAGTTAGGCTTGTAAACAGAAAGCTTTACAGTATTTCCCAGTAGCAATTACAAAACATTATGGAGCTAAAGAGGGTAAAAGCCACCCAAAGCATCATAATCTGGAAAAGAGGAGCCTCACTGAAAGTGAACCTAGACTGTGTTCCAAGCTGTTTCGGGTCAACAGTCTAGAAGGCTCCTTACTCACCTTTGCAGTCCCCTTTCCCTCACCAAGGCCTGCCTTCCTCCCGATCCTCCCAACTCCTCCTCCACAGGCCTCAAATCCACAGACCACCCCACTAGGGGTCTTCCCTGAGGACCCAGCTTCCCTGCTCTGAACCCTAACACTGCTGCCCCACCCCTGGTGCTCCTGTGTCTTTCTAATGGGAGTGGGAGGGGAGCAGAGAGAGACTCTTCTGTGTGTCCTGTGTGCAGGACAGGCCTCGGCCAACGGCCCCACACCGCTGCTATCCACGGTGAGCTGTCTGCCACGGTGAGCCATGGCCGTGGGAGCACGGACAGCCCTGGAGCAGAGAACATTCCCCTTGTGACTCTTCATTCCTACAGAGTATGCACCACCATCAGGCAGAGTTAACACTGAGGCTACGGACCGAATTCACCTGGTACCAGAAATACGCGCTTAGGCTACAACACAAATCCTCACCTGACTATTTGATAACACTGGTAAAATAGAAGACATTTATAATTTCATACAATTATACAAAAAAGCTACAGGAACCAGAGAAGCTCTGACATGAGAATTAAAACAAACATAATGAGGGACAAAACAAAGGGACAACTTACATCATGGACTGAAAAATCCCACCCCAGATCTGTCTCAGCCATGGGTCCCAATGCCCCTGACCCACGGATACGATAATAAATCTGTTCCAGGTTAGAGTAACTAAAACGGACCACGTAAGCACTTACCTTTTTGGGGCGTGTTCCTCCAAACCAACATGCTTCCCAACCCTTCTGCCCATTTCTTACTGTTTTCTAAAATAGGTATTTTTATAGAAAAGGGAGACAGAAAAGGAGCAGAGTCTCACTGAAGGGCAGTGAATGAACTAGCAGAGGGCGATGGCGTGTCACTGCCCCAACGCCAATGCCCACGCTCGGCTCTCCCTGAGCTGAGACTCGGCCCGGCAGCAAGGGGGCTGTGGGCACTGTCTATCCTGGGTCAAAGGCTTCTCCATGGCCACGTGGGGCAGGAGTAGGGACAAGGGCCCCTGCTCAGCCCTTCCTCTGGGGAGGAAGCTCCCTACTCACCCCAACACCCCCAGGTACCTTGTAGATGACGCCCCCGGTGGCAGAACATGTCAGCATGTAATTTCCCTCAGAGTCAAAAGCGAAGAGCCGGCCCCGGGGAACTTGAACCTGCTTGTAGCCACTGTAACCGGACAGCACAAAGGGACCCGTGGCGTCCGCGGGGAGTCCGAACTCGGACACCTTCAGGCCACTCTTGTGGATGTTCCACTGGATGAACTGCAACCACAAAGCACAGCCAGAATACTCTCAGCAGAAGATCGGCCTGAGAGGAATGGGGACAGCCCCAGAGCAGAGGCCATGGGCCCACAGGCCACCAGGAGAGGCAGTGGGATGACCCTTCAGTTCCATCTCTTCCCAAAACAATTTAAGCACTTTTCAAGAAAGAAATTCTAGAAAAAGGGTCAGTAACCTCACATGAAAGTCGGGACTTTCTCTTTGGCCTGATCCCAGGAGGAGTGCTCCATGTGACTGTTGTTGTTAGGATTAGAACCCAACTAGATTTCTCTGATTTAGGAATTCCCAGAGTAGAGAGGACAAATTCCAAACGCACTTCCAGTATCTCAGCAATGCAATGAACTGAACGCAGCAATGCAGCTATCAACTGAGTGCTATGTACTCTGGTGTATAACTCTTTAGCCTACCCCAGGGGCAGGCTACTGCATGTGACCACCTCTTGAGAATCCTGCCCAAATAAACAGGAAGTCTGGCTTTAATTTAAAAGTCCCCTTCCCATAGTTTCCAAGTGAAGATTTCATTTTGCAATTACTATTTTCAAATGGATAAAACAGGCCAACAGGATAAATTCCAAAAGGTACAGGAGGGCACATGAAAAGCATGTCTTTCTCCCGCCTCTTTTTACCCCACTCCCAGCTCCCTTTCCAAGGACCCTGACATCTTTCCAGAAAGAATCCACAAGGGGCACTTGTTTTTACTTTTTTCCTGCCTTCCTTTTCACATTACTTGACTCTGCTCAGTCCTACACACACTGCCTCTGGGAAGCTGTCCCCAGACCGCAGGTAAACTCTACACGTCCATGCTGTGGCCACCCAGTGATCAAGCTCATTGGGGCATATCCCAGCCCCAAATCCAGACCCCACTGCTCCATGCCCAGTGGGATGAGTCACTCTCTACAGCCAGAAGAAAGGATGTGGGTCCTCCCCTTTCATTAAAATGGCAGATCCCACTGAACTCATTTAACCCTCACAAAGATCCTGTGGAATTGATTACTACTATCTCTATTCTACAGATAACAAAACAGACACAGGGAGAGGCCATGGTCACAGAGCTAGTAAAAGGTATGGTGAGAACTTAAACCCAGCCCATCATGCCATTCCAGTGTTCTCTAGACTCTCAGGTGCCTAAACCAGGCTAGGGAAGCCCCTGACCTAAGGCCTGCGCCCACCTACCTTCCCGTCCTCGCCAATGCTGTACACGGCATTCTCATCATAGCTGAACTCCACGGAGCAGACCTCCCCGCAGTGGGCCTTCCAACTCATGGCGCACTCGTGCTGCTGCATATCTGAGGCACCAAGAGGAGACGGTGCTAAGATTCCTGCTGGGGCCCCAGGGAGGCATCGCCCATGGCAGGAGGCACCTCCCACCTTCTGCCCAGTGAGTGGGAGCTGTTCTGGAGGCAGAGGGCCTCACAGAGCTGAGCCCTGCTGAAGAAGGGTCACTGGGTGCTTCAGTTTGCTAATTCTCCGCTGTATCTACTCTCCTATTTAACCTATCTTAGAAGCTTCTTCCACTGGGGCTGGAGTGAGGTTCAGGAATCCCTCGGTGGAGCCTGAGCTCATGTGTAAGTCTAGGAGGACACACAAGTCCTTCCTGGAGGCCTCTGTAACTTCCCACTAGGGATCTGCTGAAGACACAGACCCTCATCCCATGCCAGGCCCTCTGACTCTGAACCTCCTGGGACATGCTGGCATGGAGATCTTTAAACAGCATGCCGGATGGTTCTGACGCACACTGTTCTAACACTTTACAGGGACAGTGAACTAGCCGCACCGAGAGGACAGGACAGCATTACTCTCATGTGCCCTCTTGAGTCTCAGGCAATGAGGACTCAGATGGAACAGCCCAAGACTGAAGGGCTGCTAAGCTCTACCTCTCCCTCCTGAGACCACAGCAGATTCTGACCAAAGGTAAGTTCTATTATGAACATCATGAATTGGGGTTTTCCTTCTAGTCCAGCTGGCAAAAATCCAACTCCCTTCCCTGGGACATTTAAGGAGGGCCCAGGGCTGCCATGAGTATGCTTGTTTACCAAACAGCCGGATGACGCCATCGGCCGCCCCTGTGACCAGCAGGTTCCCATTGTGATTGAAGGCTGTGCAGTTGATAGCAATGGGCCCCGGATCCAGGGAGAACTGAAGCTGGAAAACAAACAAACAAAACAAAACTAAATTTTAAAATGTAAGGGAATAATAAACCAAAATTCAAGACAAGCTCTGTCTGAAAAAGGGCAGGAGACCAAGATAAGGGAGAGGAACACAGAACATAGAAAGTACCGGTATAGTTCCATCTTTAAACTGTGGTGGTACACAGGGGCTCACCTCATGGCTTTTCCTCTCGTTACACCACACCTATGAGTTCAGTATTCTCTTGTATGTATTCAGTATTTAAAATTTTAACATAACAAGTAAACATGAAATTACAAATCATAGTGAGTGCCTTAGAGAATGACAAGGTTGAGGAAGACCTGATTAAACTGGGCTGTACAAGGGAAAGCAGCTAAGAGATGCTGGAGGACAGAGGCTTGCAGACAGAGGGGGGTAAGAAGCTCCTAGAGAAGAGGCCACATGCAGGAAGGGCCTGCACTGCAGGATGAAGGCCGGAAGCACCAGGGGGCTGAAGCGGTGGGGAAGGGCAGAGCATGCAGGGCCCTGAGGGGCTGTGGATGGGACACCTGGAGGAGCAGGAAGCACATGCTACAGTGTCTGCCTATCCCGGGCAGTGGTGGGAAGGACGGGCAGGTGGGCGTCACAGCAAGAGAGGTCCTACAGCTGTCCAGCTGAGGGGAGCTAGAGAGCGGGTCTCAGGTATGTCCCTGGAAACGCAGACAAGTGGTCAGTCTGGAAACACATTTTGGAGGTGGCACTGCAGTGTTTGCTCATGGGCCCAGAAAGGCGTCCCGTTTCTAAATGAGACGCATTTGCCTAGATGAGGAAAACCAGGAGGAAAAGACAGGGCAGGGCGTGGTGGTCAAGAATTCATGGGTGGCCTGACATGCTTGAGATACCTGTGAGACCTCCAAGTAGGAATGTGTACCATTTCACAGGCAGCTGCAGTGAGACACAAACTGAACACCTGGAACACAGCCCACCTGAGAGGCAGGGACCCGGCCGGTGTCCAATACTGCATACATACAGAAGAACACTGAACTCATAGGCGTGTGGTGTAATGAGAGGAAAAGCCATGAGGTGAGCCCCTGTGTACCACCATAGTTTAAAGATTTGGAAACTGTTCAGTTAAAAGGCTACACCCCTTTTGAGCATCAAAACTAATTTTAATAAGAAACATCGTTGCCCTTTAAACAGGTGAGTTTAAACATCACTTACTCTCTCTAGGGCTTAGAGTCATAGCTGCGTGCATCTCTTACTGTTCTTGGTGGGAACAGGTCCTCAGTTCCTGACTCCTCGTGGAATCATCAGCTTTCACGTGGCTGTCACTTCTTAAGAATATGCATGTGTCCTCACTATTTCTAGCTGCTGCTGTAATTTTTATGCAATTCTAAGTTAACAGGGAGTCAGAAGGAGACACCAGTTGTCTCCTAAAACACAAACCGCTTGAACACATAATAAAAGAAACCAATCTGAAAAGACTATATGATCTCAAGTATATGATATTCCGATAAAACCAAAATTATGAAGACAGTATAAAGATCCTCAGTTGCCGGGCCATGTTGTGGGGAGGGGATGAGGAGATGGAACAGAGGATTTTTAGGGCAGTGAAAAGATCCCAAATGACGGTGGATGCATGTCATTACATATATGTCCAAACCCACAGAATGTAGCTAACACCAAACCCTAAAGTGAACTGTGGACTTTGAGTGATGACGTGTCAATGTAGGCGCATCAACTGTAATAAATGCTCCACTGTGGTATGGATGCAGACAGTGAAGGGCAGGGGATAGATACTATGGGAAATCTCTGTGCCTTCCTCTTGATTTTGCCATGAACCTAAAACTGCTCAAAAATAAAGTCTTTAAATATAAAACATATTTAAAATCAGCCACAAGGGCCCTGTAGGAGACTGTGTGACTTCTAAACTGTGGCACAATTCTGAATGCCTTTAGCTGCTGGCAATCTACCCCACTGGAGTATTACTCCTTTCAGTACTCAAACTTTGACGTTTCCTCACAAATCGAAGTTTGAGGAGACCAAAGCAAAGAGAGGGAGAAACTCAGAAGTGAGGAGATGCTCTGTGCCCTCCTGGAGTTTGACCAGCCCCAGAGGACCCAGGGGGCAGCCCGCACCTGCTGCTTCATGGTTTTCGTGTCCCACAGCAGCAGCTTGCCGGGAACCTGGTTAGTGCCCTTCCTGCCGATGTCCAGTGCCGAGAAGTCCACCTGGGAAGTGAGATTCGGAGCTGCAGCCGAACAGACGAAAGAGGCCCCATTGGGGCTGCAGGCGAGAGACAGGATTCTGCAACACATGTGAGGCGGGGTCAGCACTCATACCCACAGAGGAAGGATGAAATGGGGCAAAAGCTCAGCAAGGGACTGGCCTGTAGAGCAGTGAGGGGAGTGGCCTCCAACTGACCTGGGCATGTCATCGTTGATGTTGATTTCACCGAGATTCTTCTTGGCTTCTGTATCATAAAGGCGCACTGTCCCCACACCACTGCCCAGCAAGAGCTGGAATGAAAAGAGGAGGGGGGGTGTGAAGAACAGCATGAGGTCAGGCCAGTCAGGGAGGACCACTGTGGGGGCCAGGCCCTCTCCTGTGAGGTCTGGTCAGACTGAAGCGGTGGGGCCCCCTCCACTTATCCAGGTAGTTTAAGTGATATCTGGCTAAAATGAACCTCATTCAAAAATTAAATAAAGACATCAGAGCTGACCTCGAACAGAAGTAAAACCACAAAAGGAATCTGTGGATGGCAGAAAGGTACCCACCCCAGATATACCTGGAAAGGTTCTGGCTGATTCAATGAGACCCTCTGTTCTTTCTCTCTCTTTCCATTTTAAATCCCAGCTGTTTCAGCCGTTCCTTCCTTCTCCCTCCTGATCTACCCACCACCACCTCGCGTGCTGCCCCCAGCTGGTCATGGGGCCTGGGCCCCCTTTACGTGTCTCGGGACAGCTCTGGCTCTGAGCCAGCTATCCTTGCCTTCAGGAACTTGTGATTTATTTGGTGAAAAGCTTCAAAGATAATGAATACCACCAGAAGAAAGCACCAGAAGCAGGTCTGAGGGTACCCCCAGGAATACTACCTATATTATGACCTTATCATTCACTTGGCAAACTAACATTGGGTATACCACAAGACCCTCGTACCATAACCATAATGCCTGCAAGTTGTCAAAATTATTTTTAAAAAATGAGGTCTGCCCCTTGGGTTGCCTGCTATGATCCCCTCAAAATGGAATAAAAGAAAAAACTACAAATCAACTTTACCTCCTTAACTACAAAGTCTATCTCAAACATGAAAGTCCAGAAGGAAAAAGAACACTACTATTCCTGGAGGCGATCAGACCGTGGGAACCGCCAAATAGTGCACCATCCCCCATGAGCTTCAGCTGCTTCCTTTGGGCCTGACACAGGGAGGGGTCTTGGAAGCAGGAGGGAGCAGCTGAGAATGTTCCCGGTGGGTTGTTAGGATGTGGATGGATGACAGGACTGATGGGGAAGAACAGGAAGTAAGCCAGTCTAGCCCTAGACCGCAGCAGCAGCAAGCCAGACCACAGATAGGAAGGCACCCTGCGCCACCTGATTGGAGAGGGTTCTCCTGATCACATTGCAGTCTCATTTCAATTCTTGTTAATCCAGTCACCTCCTTGCCACCCCCAAACAAGAGCCTGCAGGGACAGTCCTGGATGTGTGGTCCCTGAATTCCCAACGAGAGGGAGGAGTCTGCCCTGACTCAGCCTGTGGTACCTGACCTCTGGTGGATGCCCTGGGGAATTCACAGACTGCAGAGCAAGCATGAGGCATTTCACTCACCAGCCGGTCCCGCTTGGTGGCCCACTCTAAAGACAGCAGTGGCGACTTGGAAATGGAGGACGCTTTGGTCTGCATGATGGGGTTGAAGGACCACACTTTGATGACCCCGTCTACGTCTAAGCTGGCAACCCTCCTCCCCGAGCAATCCACTCTAAGACAAAAGGGAAGCTGTTACCATCCTTGTCATGGCCCGTCATCCTCTTCAGCTAATTAGATGATTGCTTTTCTGACTTCCTGACTGCTTTAAAAAATAAATCCTGAAATGCATACACTACAATGATGAGTGGACTATTTGTAGAAATATTTATTCATTCATTTGTCCAAGAACTACTTAGGAAGCACCTATTATGTGCTGAGCTCTGGTGTAAATACTGGGCATAGAAGAGTGGGCAGGATGCATGGGGCCCCGACGTCGGGCACTCGGCATCTTGAGATTGACAGCCTCCTGCACTCGGCTCCTGGGCCATTAGGTTGTCAAAGCAAGGGACTCATCTACCCTCTGAACGTTACGTCTGTGAGGGTTTCTTCATGGAAGGTCATGTTCTTACCATGTGCAAATAAAAACTTGTAAATGGTAATACAGGGTGAGGCAATAGTAGGTTTACAGTTGTTTGTATGGAAAATAGTACAATAACTAATAAATAACTAGAGAATAAACTGTGTTTCATGAACTCACAACTATAAATCTACTTTTGCCCTACCCTGTATTTATTTAATATTACCAACGAAAAGCAAATTAAAATTGAGTAAGCTTTAGGGAATTTTAATAAAAGGCAACTAACTGTTCCTAAAACTCAGAGTCCCATAATTAGAAAGGACAGAGAGGCTGATGTGCCTATAGCAGCTCTGAGCAGAATGCCCCACACCCACAAGGCAGCTGCCCAGCCCTCTTCTGACTCTTTGAGGGTGACCATGGTCCTTCAGGAACCACCCACTTTCCACATCTGTCAGCCACACCCTCACACACACAGCTTCCGGGGAGCCCAGCCCACCGGGTCAGCACTTCCCTTGGCCGGGCCCTGCTGCCACCTGAACCCACCTGCAGTGCATGATGGAGGAGTGGTGCTCCCCGTACTCCTCCTGCCCCAGCACAATGAATGGCTGCTCCGGGCGGACCCCTCCGCCCTCAGAGCCAGCTGAGGAAGCGCGCGTCACCGTATCCAGCACCTCCGTGTGGGGCTCTGGGCAGGGCTCTGGCTCCGGGCCACAAGCTTCAGGCTTCTTCTCTGTACACTGTGCCTAGCAAAGTGGGGATAAGTCAGCTGTGACAGGCCTGTGCTGGGCCCAGCCACTCACCACATCCGGGGACACACTGCAGGACATCTGATGCCAGGCTGCAGCATGCTGTGGGAGGCTCTCAGTGGTCGGGGG